GAAAATATTGTAGCACTACTCAGAACGTAGTGATAGTTAACAACTTGTAATTNNAAANGANGAATTTGGNAAAAANTATNNNATNNGATTTGTTGGNTTATAGGTTACTTTCCATGCGATTCACAAGAGCATCACTGCTAATCCACGTTAATTTTGATTTTGTGTTCAAACTCTTCCCTGAGTTTGCTGTTAATAAGTTCGATAGAAAAACTTAACCAGGCTCATGCCATGTGATGAAATGGCAAAGAGAGTGATTGAACTTGAGATGGTTTTTAATGCAGTTGAAGATGATTTGAGTATATATTCCAAAAATCCAAATGTCAATTCCGGCCATCTCTGTCACTCAGTATGTATAGGATATCTTCGTCAATTCCAAATTCCAAAGTAGGCTAATGTCTAGAGCGACGAAGATGTAAACTTATTTATATGATATATTAATCTTTTTTTTTNGNTCAAACCATGATTTTATAAATCAAATTACTCTCCACAAAGGGAGAAACTGTTTACAAAGCAGGAAGCAACAGCCATAAAAAAAACTACTACAAACACAAAACAAAAAGCATAGAAGAAAGAGATAGATGCGGGGATAATACCAAAATGACTATTGTATTAACTTCTGTTTAAGGAGAATAATAACCAATTCGAATGTTATACGCGGAGATAATACCAAAATACTATTGTATTAACTTCATTCCTAATATTGTATACCTTATTAATTCCGTCAATTTTTATACTTGCGGGGAGATTTTTAACAAACATAAAACAACTATGTTTTTTGAGAATTAGTCTCCAATCAATACAGATCAATATATTTAAACTATATATTTCTAACAAATGGATGCGATTAAAGATACATGGTATAAACGATTCTATACAATTTGATTTATGTATTTTTGAAAAATGAATGGGTAAAAAAAAATTATGTTTTAATTCGTTGATAATATATTAATGAATCACTTGTCCGCGTAGGCGCGCGGGTAACACCTAGTATGAAATATGAGGCATGTTCTTTTCGTAATCGCTACGACCTGCGTCAAAGACAAAAAAAGCCTTGTCTTCATGTTGCTTGTAACACAAACATGTGGAGAGTAATGATGTTGGCGGTGACACATCGACTGTTTATAGATAACACTATTATTGCTGAAAAAAATAGCGGCACTATAAATGGTCACATCGACTGCGAGTTAATCACCACATACTTGGATCTTAAGTAACTTATAATTGCAGGTTTTTTGGATCAGTTACCGCTGACGCAGCGATGTACCCCCGAACAGGGCCATGATACACAAACACTTGCAAAGATCAAAAGTACATCGCTTATACCAAGTCAACAATTCCACATGTCACACCACCCCCCCAACCAGCCTTTAGGTAAGGCATTTATCAAAGTAGAAATAAGAGAACGACCTCTTGGCATCAAAGCTCAAAGCATATCTTACTTAGATAAATACATAAAGTTGATCTCTAGAAAATGTAGGAGTCAGTTTTTACCTCACCAAAATAATTCACAAAAATGGCAAAATATGCTAATTGTTCCTAGCTTTCTTGGGCCCAGATGGCGAGGCGAGTCGAAGACATTTTGAGCCAAGAAGCCTGGGTCTTCAATGAGCCGAGGCGAAGAGCCAGGTCTTCATTGGGCTGACGCGACGAATCACGAGTCCCATGGGCCGATCCATATTATTGTTCGCCCTAAATGATGAAGTTGAATCATGCAAAGATCGATCGAATGAGAAAAATGGAAGTAAATCTTCGAGAGCATACTCAGATTTCCTCGCTTAGGCGACGAACATGTTCTATAAAAGGAGAAGGAAAAACTTACAAAGGGGTTATGCAATTTTTACCTAGCTAAATACTTATTATTCACATAACACTTTCTCTTCTGCCTTTCAATTTATTCATCAGAC